TAAAAATAAAAAATTTATCTTGAAATTTGAGGTGTTACAAGCCTTTCTGAAATCCAACAACCAAGCCAACGTGACCATTCTAGACACCTCTCTCATAAATGGATCAATCAGTATTATAACTAGAATTACTGATAAATTTTATTTACACATTCATAATAATGATTATGAATATAAACATAAGTTACACTTAAAGCGTATTAAGTGTAGCCTAAGTTACAGAGAGTTCCTAGCAAAAACCGGGAAGATTATGTGCAGGGGTTCGTTACCACACACCTCTATCAGTCGGCCTTGCTCAAGCCTCCTAACCTAGATAGGAGGAAGTTTCCTCTAAACCCTGGAAAGCTCCCAAAAGTCGGTTTTTAGAAGGAGATTAGAGAGGGAATGGTATGAGAGTGAAGAGGGGAGGGGGTTCACGGTTATTTATAGCCAGAATTCTAGCAGGACATGCCATGTTTTTTGCCTTATGTGTCGTGATTTTCGTTGGTGTCAAGTGTTGCCACGTGTCGTTCTCCTACCGGTCCGTGTAGCCACTTTCGAGAAGTGTGCGTCATGCGTATGCGTGCGTGACACAAAACGTGACTTTTGTAAATTTTGTAACTTCTTCATACCAGCTTTGTTTTTGACGTTCTTTATATCCATGCGTAGCTATTGATGAGATATATAACTTTCATTTAGACTTTGTCGGCTAATTCTCACTTTATTTTTAAAGGGTTTAAACTGTTAAAACTCGTATAAAAATCATAACTCTTCCATACGACATCCATCATCGACTGTCTTTATATCAAAGGAATTGTATTTACAAGATCTTCAACTTTCATTTAGATTGTTTCAGCTAACAATCAGCGGATTTCTATTTCGATTTCTATTTCGCACACCGTTGCCTTGAAACTTCTAAAAATCATAACTTCCTTATATGAAGTCAAATTTGGACGTTCTCTACATGTACGATCTCGCTTTTATGATTACTATGAATTTCTTTAAGACTATTTATCCTAAATAATCCTCTATAAAAATGTCTATTTACGTAACTGATCGTTTTTACTGTAAGACGAAAATGGGGTGTTACATCGTCCATCCTCAGCCTCTATCACTCTTCAAACTCAGAAACCTAAACCCTAGTCCCCCATTGAAGTTCTTGACTCATTTTGGTGTTTTTGTGGTCTTGTAAGGACAAAGAAGGAACTCTTGTGCATAGATCAAGCAAGCTACCCATCACTACTTCTTGTGTGCATCTTCTAGACCATTTGTGAGTTCTCAAGTTCTCATCTTGGTGATGTCTTCCTGATAGATCTTGGTTATTTGGTATGTTTTGGTCTATACTTAAGTTTGGTTGGTTGAAAGAGATAAAGTTTGCAACTTTATGGATCTCCTTGGTCCATTGGTCATTATATCTATAGATCTAGAAGTTGGTATAGTTTTGGTAGCAATGCATGGGTTCTAGGCCACTTTTATCATATTTTTGACCTAGTTTGGGGAAGGACATGCATGGTTCATGCATGTCCATAAAGTTTGGATTTTTATGGACCTTTAGGGTCCCAAGAAGCTTGCTGGAAAGTTTAAACAAGGAGCTTTTCAGATAAAGAACTTAACTCATTGAATTTTCCAAATGTGGTAGCCACGGTGTGGCTAGATGGATGCCACGACATGGAAAAGGGAAATTTTGTGACTGTTTTATTTGGACACTACCATGACGTGGTGGTTGTTTTTTATCGTAACTGAGTAGGATGGACACAACATGGCCACGGGTTGACTACGACATGGTGGTCACCTAAGTTGACTTTAACCGTTGACTTTTTTTTTACTTGGGTGACTTTTGGTCCGAAGGATAGTTTTAGAAGGTAGACTAAGTTTTACCTTGGATGTTTTGATAGGTAGGGCATAACATCAATTTCTCATCTCTGCGAGCGGTGTATTCGATATCATGTGTGAGGTGAGTTTTTCTCACTATACTATGTAAGTTACTAGATCGTCCTTGTGAGTTTTGCATGAAAGATTGTGGTTAGATCATAACACTTGTATAAAAGACTGTGGTTGGATCACAACACTTGTATGAAAGATTGTGGTTGGATCACAACACATGTTTGTCTTTGTGACTTGCATGGAAGACCATGGTTGGATCATGATAGGAAAGACTGCAGTTGGGTTGTAGCAACAAAAGTGATTATTAGACTATGGTTGGATCATAACATTCACATGGGTTGAAATATACCCCTAGGTTTGGGCCCGCTGATATGTATGGAATGTGGTATTTTGGGGAACTCACTAAGCTTTGTGCTTACAGATTATGTTTAAATGTTTCAGGTACATCTAGTTCCAAAGGGAAGGGACCGATATGATTGCATCGCATCCACTGGAATTTATGCACTTATGATTTTGTTAATACTCTGATGTTACTTTGAAACACATCTGACTCTTTGATTACCCCTGGAAAGAAATGAATGAATGTTTTGGTTGATCTAAAAATGAAATTTTTACTTGATATTTTTGGGACGTTACATTATTCATACAATTTGCATCATCCTTCCTATTCATTAATATATTTTTAGTTTACTCATCCATCGTCCACTTATTTTGTCCATCATTTGTTGACTAACAATTCCTATTGTACCAAAGGCTCGATCCCACCGAGGTTTGAAAAAATGGTAGTATTGGTTACGATAATAGTACACACCCCGAATTACATATTTCTAAGGTTGCACGGAGTGGTACTCGGCGAGGTTCGGCGAATCCGAGGTAGACTTGGCAAACACCGCCCCGCCACCTCGGTAACCTCTATTCGGCTTTGGTACTCGGTGGATTTCTACCGAGTTTGGCAACCTCCTTTCAACCAATCAACAACTAACGACTCTTTTTTTTAAAATTATATTTTTAAAATAACTATAAATATAACCCTCATTCCTTCACACACCACATCAAAGACTTCTTCCTTACTCTCTCTAAAAATGTCATCTTCATCTTCTTCATCGTCGGGTTTTTTTATGTGTTGCTCGAATCGACCATAGAGGTCGTTCAAGAGGCTGAACAGAAGATAGAAGAGCTACGTCAACAAAATGTCGAAAATGCTCAACATAAAAAACAGGTTCATACAAAGAAATCGTGAAGTTGCTCACCAACAACTCATGGAAGATTATTTTCAAGAACACATGACTTTTGAAGGATATTATTTTCGTCGGTGGTTGTGTATGCACAAACATTTGTTTCGGCGTATCGTCAACGACATCACGACAACGTGTTCATATTTCCAACAACGTGCAGATGCTAGAGGTACAGTTGGTTTTACTCCCTTGAAAAAATGCACTACCACACTTCGTCAACTAGCATATGCCACTTCCCCCGATGCACTAGATGAGAATCTTAGGATGTTCGGACATACTGCACGATAAAGCCTTCAAAAAATTTGTAAGTATGTCATGAGATTGTATGGTACACGATATTTGCACAAACCTACTTGTAATGATATCAACACTTATATGTTCATCATTCAAATGTGAACGATATCCCTGGATATTAGGAAGCCTAGATTGCCTCCACTTGGAATGGGGGAATTGCCCGAATACACATCAATGCCAATACATCCGAGGTGATCATGGTTATCCAACTATCATACATGAAGCGGTGGCCTCACAAGATTTGTGGATATGACATGCATTCTTTGGTTTTGCTGGTTCCCTCAACGACATAAATGTTCTTAACATGTCTCCGTTATTTGACGGCATGTATAAAAGGACTGCACTAGATTCTTTGTTTGATGTGCGTGGAACGTCATATATGTACGAGTATTATCTTGTGGACGGGATCTACCCGAGTGTTCTTGTTTGTGAAGTCATTATCTTGGCGTAATGATCAAAAAATGTTGAAGTTTAAGAGAGCTCAAGAGAAGGCGAGGAAAGATGTTGAATGAGCGTTTGACGCTCTTAAAAACATTGACATATACTTAAATACCATTCACTTTTTGTTGATGAGAAGAAAATGAGTGAGGTGATGTATACTTGAATCATATTGCATAATATGATTCTCGAAAACGAATGTGAGTATAATGAAAACGAGATCGTTCCACTGAAACAAGCTTTTGAGGTTGGAAGCGACGAGTATTTGACAAGGAGAGCAATAATTCATGATGTTGAGACTCATCATCATCTTCATAGAGACTTGACGGAACATATTTGGATCGTTGACCACATCGATCTTAACGCGGAACCGTTTAATGATTTAGACGACCAATTTTCCGGTAAAGATGTCATTTAGGTCTATCTTGATTTCTTGATTTTAACTTCTCTGTTTTGTATTTTTAACTTCTATGTTGTTTTTTTAGGTTTGTTGTAATTTCTTTTCAAGTTTAATGAAATTTTAGTTTTAAAATAATTTGTTTAAATTAATTATTTTTAATATGAATTAATTTTAAAAAATAATATGACAAACATGGCAACCCACATCCTATAAATGACAAACTTTTGTATCGACATGACAAATCATATGTTGCGCTTGTGTTGACTATGGCAAACATGACACCATTCCGTCCAGCCTAACAATAACTCATACACGCTGAATCGATTACCTATACAAGCTTCAACATCTCACAGGAAGCAATAATAATCCAAAAAGGCTTTTCATTTCAAAATTTGCTGAGACCCAAAAAGTTAATGTTGTTATTTGTGAGAACATAATTGCAGTAACTATGCAATCAATAAAACCTAAGGACATTCACATCTTTTGTATAGACAAAAAATTGAAATCAAATCTAGTTTCACCTTACTTGAGTGGAACAAAAAAATTGTAATTTTTGTCCAATGACAGTGTAATACACATCAAACACAATGCAGTCTAATAAACATCAAACACAATGCGACAATTTGTCGTATCTAAATATAGAAAATAAAACAGATAAGACAGCATCAATAATGTTTTGGCATATTGTTGAACTACTTTGAAGCAAACAAAATTACTAAACTAGAGATGGGTCATGTGTGTTTGGTTCATTAAACCTAGTCAAACTAACAATTCGGCAATGTTTTCGGCTTTAAAAGTGTTTCATTTGATTTGCCCAAACACAAGAACAATACAAATACAGCTCATCAATAATACATGTATGTGGGGTACAAGACTGGAATGCGACATTAAATGATATACATATTTTCCAATTATTCAAAAACGGAGATTTCCCCATTCCAACTGCAACAAGCGATTACATTAGACAATATGGGATGAAATGCAACATCTACACACGCTTGTTCATAAGCTTTGATCTTGTTGATGAGGTGGCATGACTTAGTATTATATATGTAAATAAAACCATCTGAAGAGGCGGATGCAAGTTTTTTCCCATCTGTACTGAAATTGCATTTGATGGGAAAACCGGAAACAAAATGACTTTCATATCTTTTGTATTTGTCGAGCCGAAATGGAGATTTGGAAGAAAATATTGCAATGTAATTTCCATTTGATTGTGCCACAAAATATGGGTCGTATGGATGATGTCGTATACACGGACACGTATACGCTTCCACATAGATCTGAAAATAATAAGCAAAAATAAATGTAAGAGAAAGACATGTACTTTGATTTGATTGTTTGTTATATTATTACCTGATTGGATAGAGGAAGTTGTCGTGAAACATCCCAAACAATGATAGCATTCTCACTAACATTGCTTTTTGATTCATCACTAGAGGAAATAAATTGTTTTGTATCATTCATAAATTCCACATCAAGAATTGGGCCAAGATGTCCTCGAGAATATTGATATACCACATCTCCAGTTCTAATATCCCATAAACGAATCACACCTTTTGATCCTCCAGACAAAAACAGGTTGGAGTTGTTAGGATGAAATTTAACAACCCCAACAACCTGATCCTCTTTAAACACCCGAGTTTCTATCCCTTTTTCAACATCTATCAATCTTGATGTGCAATCATATCCACAAGAAAGCAAAGAAAGACCTTTCTCACACCACTTGATGTCTTTTACAGCTGCAGTATGAACGTTTAATACCCGTGCTTTTTTCTGTTCATTGCTCCAAACATTCCATATGTTTATGGAAGAATCCATACCACACGATGCAAGAAGATGACCTGCAGTCTTCAACACACAAAATGTTGTCTTCTTCTTCTGATCATTAAATCCTAACGAAAAGATTGGGAGTAACAAACTTACAATGACTGTTTGACCATTGTAGAGCATTCACAGCTTTTGTGTGGCCAATAAGAGCTGTGGACTTCCTCTCAGAATTTGCATAGCCTCCTCCTTTTGGATTCCTTAATGATGACAAAATGTCTTTTCTTATGGAAGAATCCGAGATGCTTCCTTGAACTGAGAATAAAACGATATCATAAAAAAACAACGCTTTTGTTGAATATTGAGATAATGAAATTTATTAGACTCATGAAAACGAACCAGGTGAACAGGCTGAGGAAGATGGGGGGGATGGATTGGGAATTTGAGGAGGAGCTGAAGCCATGAGTGCACGTTCCCGCTTTGAAATATATCTTCCTGCAATTGAAGATTCAGTGGAAATATGTTTTCCATGAACAAAATTGATGGATGTATGTGGGAGTTCAGGTTTAGCTCGTTTGAAGGGAGGAGGTGGATGTTTTTCATTTTCTTCATCTTCATCTGTATTAGTGGAGTAAGCATTGAAGAGTAGATCCATAGAGCATCAAAAATCAATGCTGTGAATAACATAAGAAACTGAATCAGAGTCAGAGTAAGTGTGGTAATGATATTAAGCTCCATATTGCATTGTGTCATCGTCTACAAAACTCCATTGAATGCGAAAAAATTAACATGATAACAATTAAAATAAATGTAACTGTTTTTCTTTTCAAATGAATTCATGTCCATATAACTAAAACTTTCAAAGGTGACTAAAACAATATCTGTGTATCTTTGTGCATTCTTTGAATCGAACAAATCAATTACTATATCATAGTTAACATTAGCATTTTCAACAAAGTGTGATTAGATTATTGACAAAATCATTCAATTGTCTAACAAAATATTTATTTAATGATTCCTATAAGTAATCCTCAATTTCTGTTTTCTATTTTGAGTGTCCTCATAGAATCATGTTTAATTTCTTCAATAATTAACAAATGAATCGTATGAAATAATACCAGGCAGAGAAATATAAAACATCAAATAAGTTTCCCACTCATGTTGATGTTAGAAATATATGCAAATTTATGAGTAAAGTGATCTAAAAATTGAAAACCAAATATATGCAAATTTATGAGTAAATTGATCTAAAAATTGAAAATCAAATACATATAAAGTTGGATTACTAATTTGATTTGCAAAAAAAAAAAAAAAAAAAAACAAATATGAGACTGTTTTTTCAAGTTCTAGATATGCACTTTTTGCATAATGTGATGGCTAATATGAGCTATGAAGCAGGAAACGATTACTATTACTTCACTCTCAAAATTAGAAACGATTCTCCACTTCACCACTTGTTATATAAAGTCAAAAGTAAGTACACCTAGAAGTAGATTAAAACAAAATCATAAGTCGAAGAAAATAGGTGATGACTGATGAGTTTTAGATCGTAGAGAAGAGAGATATTGACATGGTCACAAAAAACCGGAGAGGAGAGGGTGTCCAGAAAATTTCTTGTGTTCTTGACAGAAATCGAGACACAAGAGAGGAGAGTTTAGAGGAATCGATAGACGAAAGAGGAGAATTTAGAGAAATTACAGTTCTTTCTTGTGTTCTTCACGGGAGAGGGTACTCCGTTATTGCGTATCCGAATAAGAGCCTCTTGACCGATATCGATGATTGAAAAAACCAATCTACTCCTCCTCTTCTACATCCTGACATTTCGTCTTTCTAGGCGACAGATTGGGAAGAAGGAAACCAGACCCCATGAGTCGAAGTTAGCAAACTACACAGCAGCCGATGCCGATGGGAGATGTTGAACTCAATTTTGGGCTAAAATAATTAATACCTATAATGTTAACATGGGCTAAATTTATGCCCCTTCCTCTTTGCTTCCATGGGCCTCCCTCCAACTCGCCCATGAATTGGGCCGGCTTAACACAACACGCAAAGCATTATCAATCATAATATCCAATATTCGTTTTTAAAATTCAATATAGCAATTCATCTACTCTCTCTAGTCAGAAACTAAATTTCCAACCATTACTCGACGTCCGATTCATCAAATCAAAGAAATTAAATCAAATCGAAAAAATATAGAAGCAATGAAGAAAATATGAAACTTACGGGTTAGGTTACAGACTTGTAGTTATAACAGCAGTTTGAGCGTTTGCAACCAATATGGCCAAACGATTTCATTTTCGCCTCTGTATCTAATCATTTGGCTGTTGAAGAAGAACATAACTTTGTTGGTTACTAGTCTTCCAAAATCCAAACCCACTTGCTACTTTATACAAGGAAATTGTATATTTGTATGTGTTTGCTAGTTTTTGTAAGGGTTACTGTCAAGTCACAATAGTTCAACCAACTTACATGTTTTGTTTTAAATGGTCCTTTTTTTGCTTTCTAAGGGAACGAAATATACATATATCGGCTAGTTTGGACACTTGACCTATGTTAATAGTTTACCGATACCATGAAAGTTGACATGTAGGAAATAATGTGTTGAGTTGTAATTAAATGTCACCATCTGCATCCTAGTCATAAAACATTGGTGTCTAAGTTTTATGGTCCTTGCGCATATAAATGGGCTTATGTGGAGAGCTTTCATAATCAATTCGGGTAACAGATAAGGATAAAGATTTGAATCAAGATTAAGTATGATTATTTAATTGGTTTAAATCAGGTTTATCTGAAAGTTACCACAACTATATAAAGACTTCTCTAGGCCTTCATAAATCTGATTCTACTCTCCTCAAGTTTTAGCTTTTCGGATTTCATAACCTTTCTCCTCTCTCTTAAAGTTTCTTAAGTTTTAGTCTTTTGGGTGTGAGTCATTAGAGGCATTCCTACTTTGGGTGTTAGATCTTCCAAAAGCAACAAAGGAATTCAAAATCTCCAAGGATTCACAAGTATATACAATTATACTTGAAAGGTTAGTAAGCCAATCTCTCTTGTTAGTTTATATTCCTAGTTTTGAAAGTACGTTGTCATAATAGTAAAATCTAGATCTATGGTGCATGTACACTTAAGATTACTATTAAATGCTTTTGTTGCCTAAATTTTGTGTATAAATGCATAAAAATACAGCAGTGGTATCAAATCCATTAGGTTTTAATTATAGACACTACTTGATAAAACATAGAAAAATAATAGAAACCTGTTATTCATAGGGCGCAGCGCCCCCAGATCTGGTCGTGACGTGCTTTCGCAAATTTTCATGTTTTGATATTTCTACTATAATTTCGAATTTTAGGGTTTATCTTTAGTTTTAAATATTATTTTAATCTGTTAAAATTAGATAAACTAAGAGGATAAATGTGGTTAAGAGATTTGAAATTATAGATAATGATTTAAAATTAATTAATTAAAAGTTAATTAGAGATAATTTGTTTAAATCATGAATTTTTAAATTGTTTAAAAAGTATTCACCTTACATATAATTATAGAAGTTTATAAAAGAATATTTAAAAACCAAAAAGATTTATATATGTAATATGATTACTATATGTAAAAGAATAATACAACATATTTCCTCGCATGTTTAATTAAAGATAGTTAGTCGAATCAAGAGTAGGCATCGTTCATGTAGTCAGGCTATAAGAGAGGTATAAGGAAATGACATATAAAATGAACTTTGAATAAGTGTCCTTTTCGCAACGCTTATTTGTATGGTGGATTGTCGTTAGCCAAAATGGTTTGACAGGACGATGTCTCGTTAAAAGTATAACATATAAAAGTACTAAAAATAAAATTCTCGTTCTTAGTTATTTTAGGAAAATGTGAATAGTTTCTAATCCATGAATAAAACACATTATTCCTTATTGTTTATTTATGGAGCGTTTGTAGTTAACCGGCACATAAATTTGAGAAATAAGAAGAATATTGTGTGGAAATTGTGGTTGTGGTTGTGGTTGTGGTTTGTTAGCGGAGTGTGTGTCGTTAAACGACACGTCAATTAGAGAACCATGACATAATCAAGGGGTCGCATGTTTTTTGTGTAACATCCCGATTTCCCGATATAAGTTTAAAGCTTCTAGAGTCATGTTTCAAGGGCGACTCGACGAGTTGGAAGGCCTAACTTGCCGAGTAGAGACCAAATCAGTCGCGTGGGTTTTAAACCTTACTCGACGAGTTGGAGGACCCGACTCGACGAGTAGGTATTGTAAAGTGAAAACCCTGATTTTTAGGTTTGCACCCTATTTAAAGGTCCTTAACTTTCCTCCTCAACCTCCCTTGTCACCTTCACGTGCAGAGAAACCCTAATAGATAGCTACCCTCCATTCTTGAGTGTGTGAGACCAAAAGAGAGTGTATTGGAGCATTTCTTGAGGAGTTAAGAGCTTGGAACAAGGAAGAGCTTGTAGATCCAGCCTTTCCAGTGTTGTGGCAGCAAGATTGAGGTATAAAGCTACCACCTTTACATTTCATTGCTTAGATCCCCCTTTTTGGTAAAAGAAATGGTCATTCTAGGGCATGATGGGGTCACATTCGGGTTTGAGCTTGTCACAAGGGCATAGTTTCAGATCTTGACTTCCTAAGGTCTTATGGACATAAAGCCTCAAGCTTTATGAAGCCCTAGCCCTCCTTCATGTCCAAAACCTTCTTCTAATGCTAGTTATGAGTGTTTTAGCTTCATAGAACCTTGCATGCACGTAAAGTTAGCAACTTTACGTGATAACAACACCCTAGGAGCATAGATCCACTGTTTGGAGCTTTGGAGTAGCTTAAAATCATTTGAATGAGTGATGGACTGAATGGGACTCGACGAGTTGCATGGTCGACTCGACGATTCGGTTGAAGATTGTCGTATTGGTTTTTGCATGGACTCAGCGAGTCAGTAAGAAGACTCCACGATTCAGTTAGGGTTCTTCCCTATATTTAGACACGCGTGGACTCGACGAGTTGGTGGGAAACTCGGGAGTTGACTCAGGATTTTCATGATTTTCTGAGTTTTAGAGGAACTCGACGAGTCAGTGGTTGGACTCGACGAGTTGGGTCAACATGGACTGTTGACCTTGACTGTTGACTTGGACTTTGACCACGGTTGACCATGTTTGACTTTTGAGGGTATTTGGTAAATGGGTATTTATGGAAATGTATCATTGGTGGTTATAGGTGTTGGAGTTTGGGGCAGTATTTTGGGAGCTTGATTTCGTGGTTCAGTTCGGCATTGCAAGGTGAGTTATCCTCACTATATCCAAGGGTCTAAGACACCAAGGCCGACCCTTTGAATTATTAATCAGATTGTTGCCGTCATGATAGATTAGATCGATATCCTGGTAGATAGGATGGTTATGCTTAGTGACTTGTAGTTTGTTCTGTTTGTTTGTATGCTGTTAGATGATTACCTGTTATATGTGCATATGCTTGTTATGGTAGTTGAGGATATTCCATCCCGAGGATGAGTGGACCCTAGTATGTTGTCTTTATAGACCGTTGTATGATTATCTGATATAGGTGCACATGTTTGATTGGTTGTGGGCATTCCAACCCGATGGTTGTGGGTCGAGAGTATTCCATCCCGATGGATGATTGGACTCGTAGTATGTGGGCATTCCAACCCGATGGTTGTGGGCCAAGAGTATTCCATCGTGGGCCGAGAGTATTCCATCCCGATGGATGATTGGACTCGTAGTATGTGGGAATTCCAACCCGATGGTTGTGGGCCGAGAGTATTCCATCCCGATGGATGATTGGACTCGTAGTATGTGGGCATTCCAACCCGATGGTTGTGGGCCGAGAGTATTCTATCCCGATGGATGATTGGACTCGTAGTATGTGGGCATTCCAACCCGATGGTTGAGGGCCTGGGGTATTCCAACCCGATGGTTGATTGGACCCATAGTATGTTGGTTGTTATTATATGTGTATTGTTGTGTGTATGGGTATATTGGGGGTAATTCACTAAGCCTTCGAGCTTACATTTATCGATTATTGTTTCAGGTACAACGGATGACCGCGGGAAGGTGAAGGCGTGACTGTACACTTCCTCGATTTATGATTGTGATTTCTGGGAACTCTGATATGAAACTATTTTGAAAACAAATTGTAATAACTTATTGGTTTTGAATGTTTTAAAAAGTTTTAAATTGGCTTGAATTTTATGAGTGTTACAAGTTGGTATCAGAGCCTTGGTTTGAGTGAATTGGAGGAACACTCGTGTGAATCCAGTCTCAAACTAAGGAAAATATTTTTCAAAATAAGAAAAGGAGGATGCAGAGTGTACGATCAGCCGGAGCCAGTAAGTAGACCCCAAAATACCATACAGTTATTTGATTATGAGATATGTTAGAATAGCATGCTAGTACTAAGCTAGGGATCTTCAGGAATTGCATGATAGAATTGCCTGATTATATGATGCCTGCTAGCCTAGGGTTTTCCTTATATTAGATTGACATCATTACTATAGTTGCTTAGTGTATGCATCACGACTGTACATAATTAAGATCTTATAGCATGAGAATGTTTGGTTTGGCCTTATTTCCTATTCTTGTCTGATGAAGGGCTTAGGGTAGGATCAGGTATTCGAAAGTCTATAGGGTCCAGCGTTATGTATGGCTAGCATACACGAGTGCTGCCGGGTTGGTGGAAGTTTCATAGATGGAAGGGGTGTGTGAGGTCGGTAGGCATGTATGAGATATTTAGCGTTCCTCTAGGAGTGAGGATTGAGCGCTCGCTATGTTTATGTATGTTGTTAGGGCGTTGTGATGATACTTGATACAAATATGGGAAGGTGTGGAAGGTAGTATGGGCTCGTACTACTGAAAGCACAGGACCCATATGCGTAGCAAGGAAGTCACA